TTAAGCCTTTCAATTAATAATTCTATCATCCCTAACCTCTGAATTGCCGATCATCTTCCTCGCTCAGTCATCCGCATAAAATCACGTCGATCATCTTCCTCGCTCATTTATCCGCATAGAATCGTGCAGATCATCTTCCTCGCTTACTCATCCGCATAGAATCGCCGAAGCTGGTAGGTGGAGAAGCTGAACTGGCGGGCTCTGCGGCAGCTTTGGATAACTCGACTCCTCTGTTACGCCACACATCGGAGCTCTGGATAACTCAATTTCCTCTGCTACGCCACACACCGGAGCTCCAAAAATGCCTCTTCTTCTGTTGCTAAAAATATCCTCCGCAACTGTTGCGTTTTTCAGAGCCTGCAACTTTCTCCTTTTTCCCTATTAACTCACAACTTTAATGGTTCAATTAATTGAATGTTCAGCTTTGTATATTAATACTAAACACATTAGAAATGAGTTTTATTTTCAACTCAAATGAGTAAAACGCCGAAATAGAATGAACATACACAAATGAGCTTTTGAATTTTTGAAAACTCACTTTGTAAGTTATGTATGTCCATTTTGTACCTCTGTTATGCTCATTTTAAAATGTTATATCAATGCATATTTCAAAAGTCTCATATTACATTAGATTCACATACAAGTTGATTATAGACATGAGACCACAAATCATGATACTCAACCGCACGATTCTAATACTCAATAACGGAGTTTTGATGCTCACTGAAAATGTCTTGATGCTTAACGAACCAAACTCACAATTATCATATCAATGCTCATCTTGTAAGTTACATATGCTCATTTGTATATGCCTAATGCTCATTAAAAATACATTAGTGCTTATTTAACAGAACTCGTGATTTCCATCGATCTCAATAGAGGAGGTTTGATGCTCAATGAAAATGTCATGATGTTCAACTAACAAACCTTACGATTTTCATATCAATGCGCATTTTGTAAGTTACGAATGCTCATCCCGTAATGATCTTATGTTCATTTTCTAAATGTCATATCAATGTATATTTTTAAAGTACTATTTTACATTAGATTTCCATATTGAAATGCATAGGAGTTGATTATAAATATAGTTTAATAAGTTGTTATAAAATAAATAATAATAAAAAGAAAGTGAATTAGAAGTTATGAAGCAGAGATCACGATTCTGAATATTAGACTTCTACTACTCGACATAATAGGTCAGATGCTCATTAAAAGTTCATTAATGCTCATTCACCGGAAATCGTGATTTTCATCTCAATAGCGGAGGTTTGAAGCTCAATTAAAATGTTGTGATATTCAACTAACAAACCTTACGATTTTCATATCAATGTGCGTTTTGTAAGTTATGTAGGCTTATTTAGTACTGATGTTATGCTCATTTTTAAAATGTCATATCAATACATATTTCAAAAGTATCATATTACATTAGACTGCATACTACAATTAGTAGGAGTGAGTTATTGATATAATTTAATAAGTTTTTATAAAAGAAAATTTTCTTTGCGGTATTAGGGTAAATGATGATGATGATTTATAAAAGAAAAAATTAGAAAAAGAAAAAGAATTAGGAGATGTGAAACAGAAATCGTGATACTCATTATTAGCCCACTAATAGTCAATAAAATAGGCCAGATGCTCACTAGAAGTAAGCTATTGCTCATTTATCGGAAGTCATGGTTTTTCGCTTAAATTACAAAAATGCCACCGAAAAAATGACATGTATTAGTTATTGAGTTGCCTTCTTCAGCTGGGTCGGGTGTACATACACCCGGATGTATGATATAAGGACTCTTTGAATGGTAAGTTTTACTTTTTTTTACTCGGGGGGGGGGGGGGGGGGGGGGGTCTCGGGGAGGGGGTTGGTGGGGAGCCTGGAGTAATCAAGGCTGAAACTCACTCCATTGAGTTTCAAACCCTTGTGTCTAGCGGGTTTTGAACTCGAGACCTCTCGCTAAGTACGGTAACCTCACAACCAGCTGGGCTGGAATGCTTGGTTAAGCTTTACATTAAAATACATTGAGACTTATTAAAGTACGTCTTGTAGAATAATTATGAATTTAAACTTAGGTACCTTGTGTGTTCTCATTAGTTCTCATTTTTCCTTTTCAATAAGTCACGTAAGATTAAATTTGGTAAAGTTTTATGGTTCCGAATCATTCATAGTAATTTTATTACGGACTATTATTTTATCGATACAATATCAACAACAAAAATCTATTTTTTAATATCACCCTCTAATGTCTTAATGTTACTAGAGGGATTCCTGCGTGCTGGGCTAAATCTTTGGTGCGCGCGAATGTAAGGCATATCACCATTGGATCGACTGAATCATCGGGACTTACTCATCTACCATTTTCTATCGGATATGACCTCTCGGGTGGGAGATACCGGAGAGAGAGTAACGAATCACCGAGTCAAAAACCAAATAGAAAAAAGTTTTCTTCTTGTCGAGGAAATTAAGGGAGTGTTTGCAACCGCTTAAAAAAAAGCACTTCTCAGTTTTTGGTTTAAAAAAGCACTTATTTGCCAAACACTACCAATTTTTACTTTTTCTCGGTTTGCGTGTGAAAAGTGCTTTTCCCTTTTGTATTACACAAAAAACACTTATTTTATCAAACACTACCAACTTTTACTTTTCAAAATCACTTTTTTCTCAAACACTATCAATTTTTACTGCTAATCACTTTTTCCTTATATCTCCAAAAGTGTTTTTTTTTTAAGTAGAAGCAGTTGCAAACATTCTCTAAATATTTTTGCAAAATGAATGGGTGAAACGTGTGCGACTCACGACCGCAGTACATCCGGCATGGCGGTTCATCAGAATATAACCTGAGTATTGGATAATGCTTCTTTCGGACTTGAAGCAAAACACTGAAATTCAGTTAATAACAGTTTGAAGAACGTGATCCACTTGTTTGGAGTGAGAGGGTTCATTTTCGTCTCTTGCTATTCCCATGACATCAACGGCTGCAGTTGAGCCAAACACTTCTCCAAGCGCGTGTTGGTAGTTGGTTTCCTCAACGGCTTTACAATCTCCTTAACAACGATGTTCGATGTACCCGCCGTTATATCTACTTATATCATATGTTTGTAAAAAAAAATATCTTTAAATCCGATTGATATACAAATTATGTGTCATTTTATCAGTGCAAATTTTGCAATTAGTAGTAGTTGATTGGTATATGATTTTACAATTATGAGTATGACTATAAAATGGGAAGATGAGTCTAAAAATTGAAAATAATCTTCAAATAATCTAGATTTATAATTTGATTCCAGATTTTTTTATCAAATAATCTTAACATCTCAATCATAATCTTAAAAAATATCATGCAAATCATCAAAATAATCCATAAATAATCTCATAGGGGTATAAGAATGTTTTTACTTGGATTGTAATTTGCTGGTCTGGTCTGATCTGGTCTGATTTCTTTATACTTTTATAACTATCCAAGTCTGGTCTGGTCTGTATACATTTGTTGTACGGACTACCTAGCTCTCCAGAGTAGGGGTGAGTTCGGATCAAACGGTTAAGTTTTCACCTAAAACCAAATGTCGAACCAAAGTAAAAAGTTCGGTTCGGTTCGGTTTTATGTTCAAAAACTTGGAACCATAGTTTGTTTGGTTCGATTTATTTCGGGTCGGTTTCGGTTTTTTCGGGTTTTACCAATTTTTTTTTGCTGAATAGAGAAATAGTAATTGAAAAAAAAAACTATATAAAACTAGCATTAAGAAACATACAGATACACAATGTTTTTTATTGTCAAACTAGTATTAACCATACGAAACATACATAATTTATATATAAAAAAAGAAACAAATGCACTTTCAAGCAATGAATAAGAGAGTACGGATATACCAACTTAAACATTTTCTAAATTAATTAAATGTGTGATTTTTTTTTAAAAAGGGATAAGGGTCAGATAGGGCCTCGAACTCGAAAAAAAATGTCAAATAAGGTCATATTTCGGATGCTCTGTCTGGCCGACGCCATTTGGTCGGTTCCCGATAGAATTTTTTGATGAAATTTTTTGAGCATCTTCCTCATTAAGTCTAGTTTACCCATACCGAATTTTAGCCAAAAATTCAACCGGGAAGGTAGTCAAATAATTTTCCGAAATGTACGGCGTTGTTTAACTTCACAGTTATCTTCAAAAATTCATTTGACTACCTTCCCGGTTGAGTTTTTAGCTGAAATTTGGTATGGGTAAACTAGACTTAATGAGGAAGATGCTCAAAAAATTTCATCAAAAAATTCCATCGGGAACCGCCCCAAATGGCGTCGGCCAGACAGAGCATCCGAAATATGACCTTATTTGACATTTTTTTTCGAGTTCGAGGGCCTATCTGACCCTTATCCCTTTTAAAAATTATATACGGTGTATTCGCAAGTTAAAATTTTATTAGTGAATAACTTATTTTACTTTCTTTTAATTTTAGACAAAGATATTTATGCTATAAAGTTTCACGTTTTCCGCTATGTTAGTTAAAGTATAATTTATATTAATACATATTTGTTCAATACTAGTATAAAAAACTACGGAGTATGTGATAACAAACATATATACATAACATATAATATATCAACAAAATATCATTGTACCGCAACAACAAACAAAATGTAAATTACGATTTAAAATATCAACATATTAATATTATAGCAATATACTTAAGTGTATGTACAAGTATTTCACTTAATTAAACCATAAATATTAAATGTCAATATCTTGCAAATTATATAAATAAAATAACTAATTTTAAAAAGTTCGGTTTATTCGGTTCGGTTCGGTTTTGAGATGTGAAAATCAAAACCGAAACCAAACAACTACGGTTCGATTCGGTGTTTTGAGTTCGATTTCGGTATTCTTGCGATTTGAATGTTTTAGTTGCGGTTCGAGTTTTTTCGATTCGGTTTCCGATTTTCGGTTTCTCCGACCCACCCTACTCCAGAGTCCATAGAAACGTGTAGAATGGCTTTTTCCCGTGCGAAAAGGATAACTGTCCATTGTTTTGTCGCGTGCGTGGGTTGGGTGAGAGCGAGCTTTCGTGCAGTCTTTTCCGCAATTATTACTTTTTCCAGTGTCAACCTAACCCATAAATTAAAAGAAAATACTGTATAATTAAAAGTTAAGAAAGGTCTAATTTTTTGAGTTAGAAAGAGCGAGAAACACTTTTTGTGATCATCATCCCTGTTTGGGTGTTGATTTTTCTTGAGTTCTGAGAGCTTTGAGGTGGGTGAAAGATGGCGACTTCTGATGAAAAGCTGGCGCACGATCAAGATGAGTTCATCTCTTTGGAGCTTCCCGCACCCTCTTCCTGGAAGAAACTGGTATACCCATCTCCTCCCTCTTTTTACCTTTCTTCAAGTTCAAACATGAAATTGGGAGTAAATAAAGAGACAAACTGTGTTTTTGTAGTTATTCTGGGAATATTAAGCTCGTTAACAGAAAGTATACTCCTTAATATTAACTAGGATTTTGTTCTTGCCCGAATCAGAACGGTTGTTCAATCCCTGCCCTATCATTACATGGCGATCTTGTTAGCTAGCTCCTCATTAGTTGTTTAATTAATGCTTATGGGTTCAGCCTATCAGGGCTGATTGACCTTGCCTTTGTCTTTAGACATAGTTACAGGCGAATTCTGAGACTGATATAGAATTTAGGGGTGTCCCCAATTAGAATTCTATGGGATTTTAAAGCATTGTGGATTTCATGGAATTGTATGGGATTCCCAGAATCTATCAGATTCTAGTGGAATTGTTTCCCAAATCCACACTGACCTTGGACAACCGATATTCTCTATGAAGTCCAAACTCTTCCAATCTCCTCCACCTATCCGCCGCTCATCGTAGTCGATCGTCCTCCTCCACAGTCCAAACCTCCTAATTATTAGCCGGAACGGAGCTGGGTCTGTTGGAGAGTCGAAGACTCGCAGCAACCATGCCTCCGCCTTTGGCTCCTCGCCTCCGGATCCAAGCCTCTGCCTCTGGCTCCTCGCCTCCGACTTCACGCCTCGCAGGAGTCACAGCGGTGGGCGGTGGCTCGCCTCTGATTCCAAAAGAAATCCGTTGAAATCCCAGGGGACGGGTGAGATTTCTGGTAGAATTATTTCCTTTAGATTTTAGCCTTTAAATCCTTTCAAATCTTTAGAAATCTAACACTTTAAAAATCCATGGAAATGTTAAGGGGGATGGAAATGTAGGAGGATTCTTCCGTTGAAATCCAGATTCAGGAACGTTGATTGCTATGGAATTTTAAAAAGCCATTAAAATCCTGTGAAATTCTAATTTGTCATCTTTTGGACATTACATCTGTAAATAAAATTGTCGTTTTTAAAATGTGTGAAAATGGCGGAGTGTCATACTATCATTTGGTGAAATTGAGCTGATTAGTGCCCACCATATGCGAAGTTAATCTAGCTATTATCAGATGTCTTTATGGTCAGATTTTATTATTAAATTAAAGAAATCACGTTCATAGTACTACCATATGCCATTCATGGACGCCTTCTCCACCATTATCCATGTTGGACTGTAATTTGCTGGTTTGGTCTAGTCTGGTCTGGTAATGTCTGGTCTCTTTGTATTTTTATAACTATCCAAGTCTAGTCTCGTCTGGGACAGATTACAGTCCAAGTAATAACTTCCTAAACCACCTTCAGGTCCCCCATTAGATGTAGAGAATAAAAGGAAGGCGCTAAAGATGGAAAATAGGTGAATCGTTGACAAGTATTTCTTTGTTATTGAGGGAATTTAGTGTACTCCGCAGTCATCCATATTTGGCGGATGTGGTCATGTGGGTAACATGCTTGTTTGACTTTGACTTTTTGTAACAGACCAATCTAAGTTTTATGTTCATTTTTCATTTTTAATAGGATCAAATCAAATTGCTCGTTTGACTGTAATGAGTTCTAATACCATATTGAGTTAATAAGTTCTCAAACCATAATAAAGTAGGTGCTTATCCATGAAAGTCTTGTGTGTAATTTGTATCTTTGCATTTGTCCAATCAAAGATGGCTAAGCAATTTGCTCTTTCTTGTCTTTTTTTTTTCTCCAAGGATGTTTTTAAACTATCCATGGCTTAAGGCTTGATGGTACTTATTAAATGTTTTTTCATGTGCAGTACATACCAACTGAAGGAGGGAGGGTCCTATTTGTTGCACCAACAGGAGAGGAGATCAACAACAAGAGACAGTTAAATCAGTATCTGAAATCTCACCCTGGCAACCCTGCATCATCTGAGTTTGATTGGGGTACTGGGGAAACTCCTAGGAGGTCAACAAGGATCATTGAAAAGAGCAAGTCAAGACCATCATTGACTTCAGAGATTGAGACGCACAAGAAACGGCGCCGGACTTCCTCTGGGAGAAAGAAGGACATTAAGGACACAGAGGAAGAAGTAGGAGGGAAATATGCCGAAGCTGCAAAAGAAGAAACCAATGTTGATGGAAAGAGAGAAGTAAACTCCGCTAAGGAGGAAGTGGTGGACAACAAAGAAGATGAAATACCAAAAGAGGAGGAGTCCATTGAGTCCAAGGGTATGTTCAGATTTTGGAAAATCAGAGGGAAAGCAAATAAAATTTTATTTTATATGTTTGATTTACCCACACTTGCGAAATTCAAAGATATGAGTCCACATAAAAATCTTAAGATACTTCTGCAATAAAGTTAAGGTTTTAGGATTGAAGATGTTTTTAATTGGACTGAAATTTTGTGGTTTGGTAAATGTGTCTATTTGTATTTGATAACTATCGTAGTTTGGTCTAGTGTGGGATTGAAATAATTCCAAGTAAAAACATACGAAATGTCAAGATTTATTATGGTATTGGTATCCAAGCAAGCACGCCAACCCCATTAAGTTTCAAAGAGAGAATACAGATTTTCTTACAAGTAGAATCATAAATCTTAATAAGAAAATGAAATATGATTATTTTAAAAAGTTGTACATGTATTTAGATTTCTTGGTCTTATAAAATAAGGAGATAATAGACATAAGTAAACAAGATGAATATCAACAAATATTAAGTAAGTTTATCAAGAGTTTGAGCACACCTTTTTTGATTTACTTCCTATGTTATTTTTCTAGAATCATCCCAGTTCGAAGCAGGCCCTAAAGACGACGAGGATAGAAAAACAAAAGAGGTTAGTCCGGGCAAAGAAGCAATGGCTGGAGATGAAAATCAGTTAGAGGTGGCCAAGTTGGAGGAAAATGGTATCAGCCAAGACGAAACCAAGGAGGGAACTGCTGAGGCTAAAAATGAGGGAACTGCTGAGGCTAAATATGTGGAGGCACACCAATTATTACCAAGCAAGGAGTTTGCAGTTGAAACTAAAGAATGCCATGAACGTGAAAAAGAAGAGGATACTGAAAATAATGATAACGAGAAGAAAGAACCAGTGATAGAAAATAGTGTTGTAGTTAGTCAGGCTGGGTTCACAAATGCCCCCTCTCCTGCTCCTATTAGCTGCTGATTGAAAGGGTTTACCGCTCATCTTATGTGTCTTTGTACCACTGTCTTCCATCTTTTTGGATGACTGTATGTAATTACTGAGTGTCATAGATGTGTAGTTTTCAGGATTCATGTTTCTCAGTATATGGATGACTGTGATGTTTTTATTTTCGTGATAGGCTGACTTGTGTTTCGACACGTGTATCAACTCTTGTAGTAGTTTTACTTGTCACTAATAATGGACATAAGCAGTCTCTTAAAATGTCTCAAATAGTTGTGGATTTTCCTAGCCCTGTTGGTAGTTTTGGTCTTGTACACACTGTTCTGGAACTACGGGCAAACGGAACTGACCAGACTAGTCCCTGGGTACAATCTGGTCACGTCTTCCTAAACTGGTTCTAAGGCCAGTTTCGGAATCAGTTTTATTTTTAATTAGACTACGAATTTGGGTAGGAAAAGAACTTGTATGATCAAATTCTATATGACTCTGAACCAAAGTATTACCAGTTCTAACTTCTACATATAGTTTCCCTTTTTTGGACCGTAATTGGATTTGTCTACCCATACTTTTAATACGGAGTATAACTTTTCACTTAATAGATCTAGTTTTATTCAGACACGCTCTAAACTCTGAAGTCTGCTATTTTTCTGTGCTGGTTATTGGAGGTAAACTCTAGTTAAATCATAAAAAATATGTATCTAAGCAAAAAGTTAAAAGAAGCAAGATAATACACTTATAGGAATGGTGTTAAGATAATACTGTATAGAGAGCATAGCACTAATGCCAATTAGAAAAAAGAAAAGTATACTTTTACATCAGAAAAAGAATAAAGACAAAGGTTGTCTTTTACATCAGGTTGGAATCTAGCTTAACTTCCTAAACATATGACCCCCAAAGTTTGTTTCTCAATGCACCAACATTTTGCACTTGGTCTCTACACAAAGGTTTGGAATCTCTCAGTTTTGATCTATGGCAACCCTACAGAGGAAGAATTGCATCCTAGCTGCTTATATAGGCAGGTCGTCATGAATAAACCTTTTTGGATATATTAACATCTCATACTACTAGCTGACTTGCCATTTTAGTTCGTGACACCTTCACAATGAATTTGCATTTCCTCATCCCTACTTTTCTCCTCCTCACCTTTTCCTTCTCAAACAGTATGCTTAACTTTTGTGTTGTTTTTCTTACCTTTATGTTGATAATGTCTTAAATTGACTAAATATGAAATACTTAATAATTAAGAGTGGGACAATTGTAACCTCTTAAGAGCTGAGTTACACCCAACACTGATTCCTCATTGATTCCTTTAAAGTGGTCTGTTTTTGCTTTTTTGCAGCATTTGTTGGAGGAGCAATGGAGGGGACATATGGAGTAAACTATGGAAGAATATCTGATAACATTCCAGCACCGGAACAGGTTGCCACTCTACTCCGGGAAAACAAGATAAAGAACATCAGACTCTACGACGCGGATCACTCGGTCTTGAAGGCCTTCAATGGGTCAGGAGTTAGAATTATTATCGGCCTTCCAAATGAGTTTGTGACCGACATGAGCGCGAGCCAGGACAAGGCCATCCAATGGGTGAAAGACAACGTGGAGCCGTTCTTCCCCAGCACGAAAATCGTCGGAATCGCAGTGGGAAACGAGATTCTAGGCGGCGGCGATATGCAGCTCTGGCAAGCATTAGCCCCAGCAGTGAAGAATGTTTACAGTGCTCTTCAATCCCTTCACCTGGCCAAAAGCATTGAAGTTTCCAGCCCACATTCTGAAGCAGTGTTTGAAACCACCTATCCTCCTTCAGATGGTGCATTCAAGGAAAGCCTTCTCCCATTCCTCAAACCCCTTCTCCAGTTCTTCTCTCGGACCCGATCGCCTTTCTACATTAACGCGTATCCCTTCCTGGCATACAAGAACGACCCCGATCACATAAACCTCAAATACGCTCTCTTCGAATCAAATTCCGGCATCTATGATGACAAGAACAAGCTGCATTACTACAACATGTTTGACGCCATGGTCGATGCGTCTTACATCGCTCTGGAGAAGCTAGGGTATCCGAAAATGGAAGTAATCGTCTCGGAAACGGGATGGGCTTCGCAGGGAGATGGGAACGAAGCCGGCGCGGATGCGAAGAACGCCATGATCTACAACAACAATTTGCGGAAACGGCTGCTGAAGAAGAAGGGGACGCCTTACAGGCCGAAGACTGCGGTGAAGGCTTACATTTTCGCGCTGTTCAATGAGAATCTGAAGCCTGGACCGACTTCTGAGAGGAACTTTGGGCTGTTTAAACATGACGGGAGTATCGCGTATAAGAATGGGTTTAAAGGACTCGTCTCTCCCGCCTCCTCGTTGATCTCGTCCACTACGGTACGTACTTCTTTCTCCATCTCTGGAAGAGATCAAATTCTGCCTACCAGGCGTTTAAATAGATTTTCTTCTTCTTTCCTTCTCTGCCTCGTGAACTGATAATAGAGTTGTGTTCATATGTTGTTGTGTTTTGCAGGAAATCATGATTTGTGCAGCAATGGTGATTCTGTTTCTGGGATCATGAATTCCAGAACTATGGTTCTGATGATTGTACAGAAATACTCATTCATTTTATTGAAATATAAGCGCAGAATTTCAATGGAACTTGTTCAGTCATCTTGTATATCTGCAGTGTTTTTTCTTCTAAACTAGTATACTACCAGTGCAGCACGGAAAATAGTAGTTGGTGCATATATTTTCACTCATGATCTAATTAAATGTTAAATAAAAATAAGTTTGTAGTACAATAAGCTAACACCAAAAGTATAAGCCCATATAATAAACATTCAACGAAAAGTATATTAGGAAAAATTAATTGACACTACTAATTTAAATTTATTACTTATTAATTTTAATGATTAAATTAATTTTAATATTAAATACTATTCTAAAAAAATTCATACACTAAGTGAGGGACATAAAGTATAAGTGATTATAATGAATATTAAAATTAACGAATATTAGTTAAATAAGAACTTGTTACTTATTAGTTAAATTAGTGCTAACATATGAGAGAGAGAAATATAATGCTCAATTCTTAGTCGGTTTATCTTATACTTAAAGAACAACATATGAGAGAAAATCCGCACACTCAATTGTTAGCCGGATTTTATCTTATACCAAAAAACATTACATATGAGGAAAAAATATATTGCTTAATTATTAGTCGGCTTATCTTATACTTAAAAGAACTACATATATGAGTATTCCCCCGCTCAATTATCATCAAGCTTACCTTATACCTAAAAGCATTACGTATGAAAGAGAGAAATTGTCCTGCTTAATTGTTAGCGACTTATCTATTACATAAAAGAACTATATATGAGAAAGAAAGTTCTTCCGTTCAATTATTATCAAGCTTATCTTCTAATACTTATAAGCACTAAATATGAGAGAGAGAATTATTTCTTTGTTAGTCGGCTGGTCTTATACCAAAAATCACTATATATGATAGATAAAATTCTAGCTCCCTCTCAATTGTTAGCTAGATCACTTTATTTTATACCTAAAAGCACCACTTATGAGAGGGATACATCTCACACTCAATTGTTAGACGGGTTATAGCTTAATCCTTCTTATATCTAAAATATTGTATCTAAAATCACTATATAAGAGAGAGAAAATTCTTTCGCTCAATTATTAGTTGGCTTATCGTAACTTATACTAAAAAGCATTACATATATGAGCAAAAATTATCCCGCTCAATTGTTAGGAATTTTATCTTCTTATACCTAAAAGTAATATAAATGAGAGAGAAAATTATTCCGCTCAATTGTAAGTCAACGTATCTTATACTTAAAAGACCTACATATGATAAAGAAAGTTATACCGCTCAGTTGTTAGCAAAGTTATCTTTTATATCTGATACCTAAAAGCACTATATATGAGAGAGAAAATTATCCCCCTCAATTCCCACGTTCAATTGATAGCAAGTTTAATTCTGATTCCTAAAAACAATACATATGAGTGATAAAATTCATTAGCTCAATTATTAGCAATCTTATTTTCTTATACCTAAACTGGCACATATGAGAAAGAAAGTTTTCCCGTTCAATTGTTAGTCGGCTTACCTTATACCTAAAAGCACTACATAAGGAAGAGAAAAATTCTTCCGCTCAATTGTTACCTTTATACCTAAAAGCACTACATATGAGAGATAAAAATCTTCTACTCGATTTTTAGCCGATTATCTTATACTTAAAAGAACTATATATTAAAGAGAGATTTTTTTTTGCATTTCAATGGTTAGCAAGCTTATTTTCAATATAATGATAACAATGAAAGAGCTCACCACTAACGATATTATTTTTCGGGTTTACAATGCATGTAATATTGCAAATTTGTTATTTCTTTAGCAACTCTGAGATTATTTTAGTATTGCAAATATATTGACATTTTTTTACATTAATTCATTTCTTTTACCATTATGGTGACATTTCTTTTATAATATGTTTCATTTTATCTAACATCCTATACTATTTTTTATGATTTCCAATAGTGATGATGTGATTCACCGATAATACTCACATTTATATGCAAATTTGCTCATTTTTACTAATATATGACATTTTTAACATTATTGAGATTGTATTGAGATCAGATCAGATCCGATCATAATAATTCAGATCAGATCCGATCAGAAAAATTCAGATCAGATCAGATAAGAAGAATTCAGATCAATCAGAAAGATTCATATCAGATTAGATCAGTAATATTCAGGTCTCATAAAAAACATTCAGATCAGAAAAGTTCAAACATGATTTATAATTAGATCAGATAATAAATATAATTACAATTATAATTAGAATTATAATTATAGCTATAATTATAATTAGTGTAATAGGTATTATTATTATAATTTACTTTTAATTATATTTATAATTATACTTTTATAATTACGAATACAATTATAATTATATTTATAATTACAATTATAAATATATTTATTATAATTATAATTATAGAAATATTAAAATCAGATCAAAGAGATTCAGATAAGTTCATAAGAATTCAGATCAGATTAGAAAGAGAGAGAAATGAGTGGAGTGAAGTACGGTAATGAGGCATACGTTTTTGTTATTTGTTATTATTATTATTAGTAGCAGGGGGTATTAAGAGAAAGACATGTGGCTTAAGAGGAGAAAAAGTAGGGATTAATAAGAGGCACACACGTAGGATTAAAAAGGGGCAAAATGTATTTCTATGAGCCTATTCTTTTCTTATATATAATATAAATAGACGGAATAGGAAAATTTAAAATTTAAAGCCTTAGTATTCATGGTAATATTGAAATCAGATCGAGCATCTCAAGTAAGTGAAATTACGAAAAAAAATATTTAGAATAAACTTCTTTGGAAAGGAGTATTAGGTTTAGCGTCGTTAACTCACTCGAAGAAAAAATATTTGAGAGAATTCCCTAAATAGGAGAGTAAAAACGTTTTGAAATTTCAAAATAGGAGTATCATGTTTTTTATTCCCTGAATAGAAATAAATTTCTGTCAAGTTTGGCATTACAAGGCTTTTAACATGCCATTTTTTTCCAAACTTGTCAGGTTACTCTTATTTAGGGAATAAAAAACATGATACTCCTATTTTGGAATTTCAAAACGTTTTTACTCCTATTTAGGGCAATTTCTGAAAATATTTTGACATTGAGCCCGTTTGATAGCACGAAAATCGACTGATTTTGCTGATTCTGCTGAAATTTATGAAGTTTTGGCTGAAGTGACTGCATTGGCTGATTCTGCTGATTTAAGAAAAAACTATTTTTAAAATATATATTTTGTTAATAAAATAAAAGAAAATTATATGTAAAAATAACTAAAATGATCATCTACAGTAACTTCAGCCAAAACAGCCAGAAAAGTAACTTCAACCTTACTTTTTCTGCTTATTACACAATTCAGTGCGCGAAAGCAAATTACGTGTTTGGTGAAAAAGTTGGCTGATAAGCCGAAAAACGGTGGTCTCAAACAGCCTCTAATTATGACTTGACACAACTATTATTGGTCCTATAGATTCACATATACTTCTAATAACATAAAATAAGTTAAATTTCAAATGATCCGCTGAACCTAGCAACAAAAAACTTTAACAAAAATCTAAATAACAAGATGATAATAATAATAACTGAATAGAATAATTTTCTTGAACCCTAGCGTTTCGTTCAACTCATGGCGGTGATTCAAGAGTAAAGCGGTCATTAGTACCGTTGTGATAGATCTTGCACCGCTGGCCGAATTATGGACCGCCATAGCCATTTTTTTGTGCTTAGGGGCGAGTTCAGTTTTTTCGTTTCAGTTTTGATCAAAAACCAAATACGGAATCGAAGTATAAAGTTCAATTTCGGTTCGATTTTACATTTGAAAACTTGGAATCACAATTTGATGGTTTGGCTCGGTTTTGGTATTTTCGGGTTTTTACTAAAAAAATTTATTTGATTTAAAATGATACAATAGGTGGGGGATCAAATATACTTGTATTACATAGAAATCAAGTACCTTGTGGCGCCAGTAAATCTTAAATTCACATTTTGTAATCACTTAAACCGGAAGACACTTGACCATTGACTAATTTCAAGTTTGTAATTTACGTCTAAAGAGGAAAGAAAACATCACCTTGATGAATGATGGGTTACATTGGTTGTGTTAGTAGTGTTATTAAACTTATTATTATAATGTTATTACTTTATTTTATGGCTATTGGAGTAGATCCATAAATTTAGTTTAATTGATGACTTACTGAAACAGTTATTCAGAGTATATATTTTTTACATCTATTAGAGATTCAGATCAGTTCATAAGAATTCAGATCAGATTAAAAAGAGAGAGAAATGAGTGGAGTGAAGTACGGTAATGAGGCATACGTTTTTGTTATTTGTTATTATTATTATTAGTAGCAGGGGGTATTAAGAGAAAGACATGTGGTTTAACAACACAATTATACTTTACTAATTTTTACTCTTTTGTTCCACCACTTCTACGTAGTGCTCCATCCATTCCATTTTACACATCTTACTTTCCACTTGAAGTTATCCCAAAATAAGTGTCATATTTTTTTCCTGGAAAGACATGAGATCCACGATATTTTATTCTACTATACTCAAATCACTACTTCAGCTTTTATTTTTCAATCATTTTATTAATAATTATGTCAAATCGAAACAAGACACATAAAATTGCACATAAGTATTACTATATTTTTAACCACTCTGCCCCCAATATTGTCAGCTTCATGGAATTTTTAAAGAAAAAATGACATAAATAATAGTCCCGAGAATGCTATGGACAGGAATAGGAGTGGTTTTCAAAATGGACTAAAAACCGACCTACGTGAGTATGAAAATCCTGATATGCCCCTTACCCATTTCATCCATCACGCAAAATCAATCCCGATATCCCAATATGTCTCACCGTTTTTGTAGTCTCACGCAAAATCAATCCAGTGGACCACAATCACTCACGCCAAAATCGGCTCCATCGACCTGAGCCGCTCGCCGCCTCTGTAGCCTCACGCCGCCCGCCGCTTGCCGCCCGCCGCATCATCTTCCTCTCCATTCTTTCCCGCAGCACATCATTATCGAAGATCAGATCTGGACGTTCGCCGCTCGATGTGATGCATCTGTGCGACATCGGTCGTGTTCTTCGGCAGTGATGATGTTCTCCAAGCTGATATAGTGGTCGATTTGCCCATTACGTCTACTGGAAGCGGCCAGCTACACGTTGGTTTCGACAGTTGAGGGGAAGCTGTATACAGGGCGCAGGGGACGACTTGCGCGGGTGACGACGACTTGCAAATTGAAATGGCTACCATCGCAGATGGGCATAGACGACTTGCGACTAACGATGGCTGGAGAGGGGTGAGGACGACTTGCAATCGCTGGCGACGAGTGACCATCGGAGATTGACGATGAGGACGGCGAACGACGGCCCAGATCCAGTTTCTCCGGCGGCTAGGGTTGTGATATGTGCTGGGCACGGGGCGTTGGGAGGGGGGAGGGCTGGTGCAGGGGAGGGGGCTGGTCTAGGGGTGGGGCAGGGCGGGGCAGGGGCTGGTGTAGGGGCGGGGAGGGGGCTGGTGCAGGGGAGGGGGCTGAGGAGGGTGTAGGTGGGGGGCAGGGGCAGCAACGGCCGTCATAGGGCTGGGTGGTGCTCGGGCACGGTGGTGGTCAGTGATGGCGGCAGTCGGGGGTGGCGGTGGGCGTGTTGGTCAATGGTCACTAATTGGTTTGGTCACTAGTCAAATTGGTCATGATCACTAATTGGTTTGGTCACTCAATCGAATTGGTCATGGTAACTGGAGGGGTTGGTCACTGGTCGGATTGGTCATGGTCACTGGTTGCATTGGTCACTGATCAGATTGGTCACTGATCGGGTCGGGTAACTGTAAATGGACGGATTAGGTAATTGTAACTGGACGGGTCAGGTAACTGTAATTGGACGGGTCGAGTAACTATAACTGGATGATTGGGTAACTGTAACTGGATTACTGGACAGGTCGGGTAATTGGACTAGCAGATGTTGGTCACTGGACAGGGTTGACGTTGGTAACTAAGTAGATTTTTTGGTCACTAATGATTTTTGTCACTGACGGATTTTTGGATTTTTGGTTACAAATGATTTTTGGTCACTGACGGATTTGGCCACTATAACATTATTGGTCACTATGACGTTACTGTAGCATTAATGGGTGATATTATATTAAAATAAGGGTATAATAGTCTCCTAACTCATTTTTAGTCTCATTTTTGGAAAATAGAAAAAAAGGTCTCTTTTTTGTCAATAGCTATTTTTTTAGCATTATTTTAGACATAACCCCATTTTTAAAACAAATTTTAACATTCTTTTTTTTTAAAGAAGTTTAACATTCTTTTTAAATCAAAGAAGAGGAAGAAGTTGTCATCGTAGAACGCATATGGACTGACGGAGGAGGACTAAGAAATTTAAAGAATACATTCGTTGATACATTATTAGCGACTAAGAAATTTATAGAAATAAAACTACTCCCTCTGTCCCCTTAAGTTTGTCCCGTTTTACCTTTTTCGTCCGTCCCACTAAGTTTGTCTCATACCATATTTGGTAACATTTGAGTGGTTAGAATTCATTCTTACTTTATTTACACTTTATCAATTCAATACCAACCACGCAATTCCACTTTTTCTTAAAAACCACACCACACTCCTCCGTCTCAAACTTAGGAGGACGGAGGGAGTATTTGTTAATACTAAAATTGACCTAATCAGCTAATTCATTCCATTTGAATTGATGAAGTTTTGATTGAAGTGATTGAATTGACTTAATTGTGAAAAAAATATTTAAAATACAATGTATTAATAAAAAAAAAGTTAAACGAAAATAAGCTAATTTGATAGTAAAGAGGGGTGTCGGTTTTACTTAATGAATCACCACTTCAAGTGGCAATTTAAAAAATCGTCATTAATTCGTCACATAAAAAAATGTCTAGTAGTATTTTTGTAAATTATTTTTAGAAGCTGTTTGGTAACAGATTATTCGGCTTATCAGCCAACTTTTTCCCAAACTTTTATTTTCACACGCTGAATTATGTAATAATAAGAAAAAGTAAGGTAAGAGTTACTTTTTTTACTGTATTAGTTGTAGTTACTGTATATGATCGTTTTAGTTATTTTTACATTTTTTTTCTTTATTTTATTAATAAAATACGTAGTACATTTTTAAATTTTTTCTTAAATTATCAGAATCAACCAATGCAGCCACTTCAGCCGGAACTTCATAAATTCCAGCAGAATCAGCAGATTTTTATGTTACCAAACCGTCTATTAATCTAGTTCTAAATTTATACTACCTTCGTCCCACTAACATTGGGACGGAAGAATGTGCCACACAAACTTTACCAAATTTGGTATGAGACAATCTTAATGGGACTTCCCGAAAAGGTAAAATGGAACAATCTTAACGCCTTAACGGAACGGAGGGAGAATTATTTAAGCACTAACCAAGGAAAGTTAGAATGTTTAATTGGATTTTAAGTAGGATGGGCTTGTTTAATACTCCGTACATAATCTCATCTCACTAATAATAAAAACCAGTCATTAGTTGTTTTAGTAGTTTTACACTTCTCTGTAAATTAATGACAACATTAATTTAGGGGAAAGAGGGCAAATACCCCTTCAGGTTGTCATCAAAGAGCAACCGCGCCCTAACTTTTTTATTGGGCAAAAGGCTTTAAAATCATAGAAAGGAGGGCAATTACCCTCTGCCAACAGTGAACCGGTTAACTGGCAATTAAGGGTTGGTTTGCAACTCCTTTTAAAAAAGTACTTCTCAGCTTTTAGTTTTAAAAAAGCACTTATTTTCCCAAACACTGCAATTTTTATTTTTCTCGGCTTCCGCGTCAAAAGTGCTTTTACTTTTTCTATTACACAAAAAACACTTATTTTACTAAACACTACCCACTTTTACTTTTCAAAATCACTTTTTTCTCAAACACTATCAACTTTTATTTAATCACTTCTCTCCATTTCATTAAAAAAACACTTTTTAAAGCAGAAGCTGTTGCAAACAGACCCTAAAGAATATTCAATTGGTTCATTTGATTACTATGAATGTGTATAACAATTTAAATGTATTTTTATACTTCCTCTTTTAATTTTAGCTTGTGCTATATTAAAGACGTAAATCTAAAATATTTTGATCCTAAAATCATGACATACTGTATTGACGAGAGAGAAATGTGTAAGAATGTTTAAAACGCATTGTTCGCATTGTGAACAACAAGTTCTTTGATAAAAAAAGATTATTTTGAGACGGACGAAAAAGGAAATTTGAAAATTAATTCAAGGACGAAGCAAGTATAATTCTTTATTAATAAATAAAGAGTTTTTGAAAATTTCTAATGAGACAAATTTAAGGATATTTAAAAAAAACATTAATAAATAAAACATATTTAAAGTAGATCATGTGAATAGTGTAAATTCAACATGTGACGCTTATTTAAGAAGGGAAAAGTATGTCCCGATTTTAGGACCAAAATATTCTAGATTTAGAGCCTGTTTTGTAGCTTGAAAATCAACTGATTTGGCTGATTCTGATGAAATTTATGAAGTTCTGGATGAAGTGGTTGCATTGACTGATTCTGTTGATTGAAGAAAAAAAATTCTAAAATATATTTTACTAATAAAATAAAGAAAAAATTATATGTAAAAATAGCTAAAATGATCATCGACAATAACTTCAGGCAATACGGTCATAAGAGTAACTTCAATCTTACTTTTTTTTTTGTTTATTACACAATTCAGCGCACGAAAATAAAAGTTACTTTGATGAAAAAATTAGCCGATAAGCATGGTACGTCAAAAAAACACGGCCTCTTACTTCTTCCACCGAAATTAAACGAGGACATCTAAAAGAAAAATATAAAAAATACTGGTAGATTTAATTTAGCTAAGATCTTCTTCTTCACTCGACTGGACTCTGCTTGATCAGTAGCAAAAGAGCAACCACAACAGGAGCAGTAATGATGGAGATTGCCTCAGCTAAATTGGGGTTTGTCATCTCCGGGAAAAATATGCTTCCGTACTTGATGGCAGCCGCTCCGGCCGTCGACCAGACCCCCAATTTCACCAAATACCCCAAATCCTCCTGCTTCGGTCATTCTACCATTAAACCCTATTTGCTCAACCCTCAAATTCAGGCAATATAGAAAGATTGTATACAAAGATTAAACCTGCAGGGAGACGAAGGAAGGGTTTCGGCCACCCGATTTGGGATCCGGAGCTTCTCTCTTTGGATCTGATGCTCGCGCTATGCCGGACGACGTCGCTCTCGAGGCGTAAGGGATGATGCGAAGGGAAAGTTGGTTCGGAGTGGTGGTTGGCGACAATATCCTCGGGTGGTTTGTGAGCGCGGATGGTGGTGGTGGGGCCGCTGCCATAGCCATATCCAAACTATTTACCTCACAAGTTGAAAAAGATGCAGCAGGGGGGCCGGCGTAGCTCTCTAACACCAACGGCAGCAGCTCTCTAAATCCAATGGCGATACAATAGTACGGAGTACAATATACATAGCCGGCACCAGGAGTTGAAGAGTACCCGCGTTCAATATAGAGTACAATTGAGATGGATTTTGAAGGAATTTACCTAAGTAGATCAGGATGTTTGGAACTGCTTCTTTCGCTTCTTTTTCTAAGCGAGAAGCAGAATCAAAATTTTCTGATGTCTGAAAAAGTGATTCTGTTTGGAGTATTTGGTATATATTCTGCTCTATGTAATAGAAAAATCAGTTTAGAGTGTTTGGATAACTTGTTTTTAAAAACTAATTTGGTGTAAATTTAACAAAAGGGCATATAATACTATAATAGGCATTCATTATACTCTCTCCGTTTTTTAATAGATGAGAGTACAACCTTTGACACAAGATTTAAGAATGAATTAATAGGAGTAAGATAAAAGGCGTAATGCGTTGTGTGTAAAGAAAAAGTATGAAATAGAATAAAAAAGTAGGAAAGAGAATGAGAGTAAATGGATATATTTATTGAAAAAACTTACCAAAAGTGGAGAGAGACAACTAATAGAGAACATCTCAAAATGGAAAGAGGGTCAAGTATTAGAGAACGGAGGGAGTAATATAGAGCCCGTTTGGTGACCCCATTTTTCGGCTTATCAGGCTTATCAGCGGCTTTTTCACCAAACACGAAACTTTTGATTTCGCGCGCTGAATTGTGTAATAAGCAGATTAAGTAATGTTTGAGTTACTTTTTTGGGTATATTGGCTGAAGTTACTGTAGAGGATCATTTTAGCTATTTTTTCATATGTATTTTATTTTATTTTATTTATTAATAACAACTATTTTCAATTTTCCTTTTCGAATCAGCCAATACAGCCACTTCAGCCAGAATTTCATAAATTTCAGCAGAATCAGCCAATACAGTCAAATTTAGTGTTACCAAACAGGTTCATAGTAATATAAAGGCATATGAAAAATTAAAATTACTTAAATAATGTATTCCAAATAAAATATGCTAGTGGTTTTAGAATTCTCATTTCAATAGGCTGTTAAAGAAAAAAAGATAGATGGTGGGTGAAGAGGAGAGCCCCTGTCTGAAGCATAACCATTAACCAGAGCCCACAGAAGTGACTTTCGAAAGATGAGGACAAACCCAATAATAATTGAATAAAGATATGAATTAAGAGAAAATTAATAAACAAAACCAAACTCTAGAATAGACGAGGAGAAAAAAAGATGGATGGTTATTTACCCGGGCTGTGGATCAGAGAAGAAAACAGCCGGAGAAGGGAAGAGTTGACTGGAGAAGAAGCTCAAGCTCTCGCATGCCCTAATTCGACGTGGTGTGCATCGTATATTGAGTGAGGGCATTCAATGAATAAAATTAGAAGAAGTAGAAGCTGTTTTGGAGAAGCTGCTACTACCCAATTTCTAAAAAACTGATTTTTCAGCCATCTAAAAGTAGTTTTAAAATCAGATCGAAACACCAACAAAATTGATTCTACTTCATTGTGCTCCTTGGGATAGCAGAATCAGGGGTGTTTGGATCTGATTCTCAAAACTGATTCTGCTCCTTCAGGGAGCAGAAGCAGAAGCTGGAGTGTTTGGGTGAAATTCCAGAAGCACTTCTGGAGCTCTAATTTACTCTCAGAATCGGTTTTTTTAGAAGCTGGGGGGGTACCAGCTTCTGAAAACTGATTCTGATTCTGCTTCTGCTTTTAAAAGAGAAGCAGAAGCAGAATCAGTTCCAAACACCCCCTCAGTTTGTAAAAACAGATCTCAACACCCCCTAAGAGAATTAAAAGTGTACTTAAAAAAATAAATTAAGAAGTTGTTCTCTTCACCTTATTTAGATGTTTGTGATCTGATTTTTTAAGTTCTGATCTGATCTAATCTGAATTTTTCTGATATGATCTGATATGAATCTTTCTTATTTGGTCTGATCTGAATATTCCTGATCTGATATGAATCCTTCCGATATGAATCTTTCTGATTTAAATATTTCTTTAATTATAATTATAATAATTATAAATGTAAATATAATTTAAATATAATTATAATTATAATCATAATTATAAAAATACTATAATTATAATTAAAATTATAATTGTGCCTACTACACTAATTATAATTGTAGCTACAATTATAATTTTAATTATAATTTTAATCCAAAAAAAATCGATTAGGCCCTCGTACTTTACAAACACTCAATTAACTTCTCAAACTATTAAAAAACGTTCAATTAAGCCCTTTCGGTCGGTAAGTAACCGGTTTCCCGGTTAAATGTAACCTGTTTTCCGGCAGCCGTTGTTGCTGGGGTTCGAGCACATCGTCGCCGTCGTCGCCGTTTAACCGGGAAACCGGTTACTTACCGACCAAAAGGGCTTAATTGAACGTTTTTTTAATAGTTCGAGGACTTAATTGAGTGTTTGTAAAGTACGAGGGTCTAATCGATTTTTTCGGCATAATACGGGGACTTATTTGATAGTTTCTTTTAATTATATTTATAATTATAATCATAATTATAATATTTATTTATATAATTATAATTATATGTATAATTAAAAATATAAATACAATGATAATTATAGATATAACTATTATTAGTGTATTAGGTATTATAATAATAACAACAACAATAATAACAATAACAACAAGAATAATAACAATAATAACAATAATAACAACAACAACAACAACAATAATAAATGTAATCCTTGTCTCGGTACCACAAATTTTGCTTTTAGTATTTTGCAAATAAGCTTTAGATTGTTTGTAATAATTCATGTCATTTCCGATACCACAAATTTGCCTCGGTAATGACAAGAATGTAATCCTTGTCATCTAAAAGCAATCCCCGAGCATAACAAACATCTCTAAAGGTGGGATATGATATGTCATTAGCTCTTTTTAACTCCTCAAAACTTCTTGGTCCCTTTAAGAAGTTCAATAAGGTTCGTAAGTAGTATTTTGCATGTGCTCCAGGGTGAACAAAGTAGGCACGTCCAACCACAAATTTTTGCCATCTTTATACCCCGCTCCTTAATATCCTTCTTCCACACAAATATGCTTGGAAAGTCCACATATGTCAAGTTTATGACCTCAGAGTATACTTGATTTGCTCTCATTCATGTTGTAAAATTTGTGTCATGATTCTTATGATTCGATAGGATGCCTTGGACATAATCTTCTGTCATGTAATAAACATTTTGCTCATTAGGTAGATGAAAACTAAGATGCTCAATTGACACATCCCTGTAGTGCATGTAGAATCCGTATATCCTCCAAGAAGCCTCACAAGTAGAGATGTTCGACAAATATAGCACACATTGATCCCATCAATTTTTTGTTGCTTAAAGTTATCCCCATCAGAGAAAGTGAATGTGATTAGATCATCACCTTTATTGATGTAATTGAAAAGATATTCCACTACTCATGAATGGTTAAACCATGCAACATTAATGTGTGCCACATACTTGAACAATAATTCATGATTGTGGGGGACTATGTATCTATTGTCAATATCACAATCATTTTTCACAACACATCTTCTATTACTCCTTTTTCTATAGACAGGATACCCACTCCTATCAATTTTAGTGCATTGGGTAAACTTCTATGAAAAATGCTTTGTGCATCTACCTTTATCCACACACGGCGACATCACGATCCATGCACCATCAACTATTTGACATCATTGTAATGAGAAGGATATGAATTCTCATCTAGATTTTCAGCAAATATGATTTTGTCAATATTCAAGATGCATGTAATGCCTTTTTAGACATCCACAAAACAATGTGGGCATGTGGCAGACCACGTTTATGATATACCATAGTATATACAAATGCAAAAATAATGAAAAAAGTTTAATTTCTTGGGTTTAAAAATATTAAAAAAAAATTATTTGAAGTGGTAACCAAAATATATTACTTGTACAAATAAATCATGTTGGTATGTTGACATCCTCACAAAACTTATGTTGTTTGGGATCTTTAATGAGCAAATCTAACTTGATTTTAAAGACCCTACAAAGGATGTCATGGGGATCGTCTGGATTGAGTCATATGTTCCCAACGAAATGGATAATTTCTAGCCACTTCGGATTGCAAATGAATATGATGAAAAGTTGTGGATACTCTGCCCATCGACATATAACCACAGCGTCTTGATAATTTTGCATCATGCGACATGCACTGCCAATCAATGTAGGAGGAAGAACAATAAATTGGGGCCCGTCATAGATGCACTTGTTTCACCCCAGACAACCACATATGCTAAATCACTGTACAAATCACTTCACATTTCTTTATGATGATGTCTTAATTATGTATATCAATTGATATGGCTCTATCATTGTATACCCTCAATCACAAATTGTTGAAACATTCTTCGCGATCCGATCTAAATAGATACGGGTTTTTACTTTTGTGTCCCTGCAACCACAAAAAAAATCTTTCATTGTAGTAAATTTTCTCCCTTTGGGTATTGTAAGGGCATCTTGACCGTAATCAAGGGTTCAGTAGTGGGTATTCTAACCCTAAAAAGGAAGGATTCAGTTCAGTTATAAACTAAAATTTTCCCTCTCAAAGAAGTGAATGCAAATATTGCATTATAAACGAATGTTTTGGAGAAAATAATAGCTTTAATCCAACTATCTCACTATTTAAAAGTTCAAGCGTTTCCTTCATTATTGCAGGTAACACAACATTTCCATGATTACAACACAAAGACAATCTTGATCATTTTACTGCAGAACATTTCTTTACTCTTTCCTCTTACCAAAACAAAGCTTCACAAAAATCACACTCATAAGATGAGTCCCCAATTCAAGACCTGCATAGGCTCAAAGGATTGCAAGATAAATTAGTGCGTATAAGTCTCAAAGATAGTCATGTGGTTGCTCAAAGATACAATTGTTGACTTATTTGTACTATACTAGTGTACTGTATTCCACACATAGTATTAATATTTAGTAGGGAAATAGATATATAAACACTTAGAATTGAATAATACCTTCACATGAACAACTTGCATAGTCAGCATCTTCCGTCTGTCAAGAACATGAAAAAAAATTGTATTAGCATTTTGTGTATACATATGTGTAAATGCTATTTATTGAGAGTATTAAGTTTATATTGGTTTACTATGTCTGTAATGTACAATTAACTAATATTGTATTACGAACCATGGAATGCATGTTGCTCATGTGAGGAGGCACTAATAACATCCGTTTGGTCATCTTTTGGGTTGACATCTATACAATTTGAAATTCACAAAGTCATCATAATCCTAACATATTTAAAAAAAAATTATATTTAATTAAATCTTAAAAAACACGTTAAGCATAAATAATCTAACCTTCACTATTAGCAACAACATTAAAATCATCCATGTGATTCTTGTTAATTTTTGGGGGTTCACCATGTAATTGAGACATGCATATCCCAAATATTGTATAGTCAACATTCGACACCATGGTACTACTTAGTTGTCATTCATTGTGACATGTTGGAATTATTCGTCTGATACTTTTACACATAATGCTCTCCTTCGGTTGGATTATTGAAAAAAGCAATATGATTCAATACGTGATTTTATAGTAAAAGAGGACAAGGAGTGATGTCTTTCACATAATTACCGATGGTAGTTTGTGTCTCCAAATTTACTCCACCTTTGTTTCTCCTTGAACAGAGTGGTCATGACAGTGAGCCTCGTGATTGCTTACCTCATATAATAGTTGAATTGACGACTTATTTTTTTACTCAATATTGTAGATGACCTTAGTTCATCAATTTTTTGAAGGAATCTTAGTTCATTTATTCACCATGATTCATGAATAAATACATTTTAAAACTAGGGGAAAAAATTAAAATAGTACGGAGTACTAATTATCACATCTCATAGTCAAGCGTCTTGTGGTTCGATAACATAATTGTGACACTCCCAATGAGTAGGTCATGAGTTCAAAACTCGTCATGTTGACATTTAACCGAATAAATACTACGAGAAAAGGGAAAAGTACAACAAAAAACAAAACAAAAAAATTATCACACCTTATTGATTGGCTTTCACCTTGCCATTCGTTTTTAATGGGTTTAATGCACCTACCCCTTCATGAAATAAAATTTTGGCGCATTAGCTGTCTATGATTTAAAAAATGCGTCAAACTCTTCTGTGTTATGATTAATTATTTAATCATGCGCAAAACCCCCTCCAAGAGTAAATTTTGAAACTTTGAAATCAAGTATGCTTGAATAAGCAAGTAGCTTTGTCGAAATTTCTAAATTATACAAAAAAACTAATCATTTTTCATTTTTTGGAAATTAAATTTGTTCTTAAAAGAGATTTGAAGCATTTTTTAAATGAAACTTTTTTGATCGAGTGGTCGGTTATGATTTACCGATTTTTTCTCGCGAAGCAATCGGAATCAAGA